TTCATAGCACCTTCTTCAGCAAATACACGAAAAACCAAATGCACCCATTAATCCAGATATAATGGAAGCTATGTTCAAATCGATGGACGATGAACTCTCCGCACAATCGATAAAGTCCGCAAACTGGGCAGCGTCAGGATGTACAGCTGCTATTGCCTTCCTGAGACTCGAGGACCCTGATGGGTTCCAACCTTTCGCGCCTTCTTCATCTCCAGCCTTTCTGGAATATTATAAACCTAATTCTCCTAAACCAGATACTCCCCCTCCAAAGATCCCCGCTGTTATTTCGCCCGTCTCGGCTCGACGTGTTCTATATTGTGCCAATGCCGGGGACACCCGTATTGTGTTATGCAGAGATGGCAAGGCTGAGCGTTTGACGTACGATCATAAGGTCTCTGATAAACCCGAGTTCAACCGAGTGAGAGGACTTAAAGGTGTCTTCTGGCGAGGGCGTATACTTGGCCAATTAAATGTGACGCGAAGTCTAGGAGATCATGAGTCTCAACAAGGTTACTCGATCAAAAAATTTGTCATTGGGACGCCGCATTTGACGAAAACGGATCTCAGTGACACCGATGAATTCTTCATTATAGCCTGTGATGGGGTTGGTGCATGTTCATTAGTTAAACCGCCTAGATCACTAACACCTTTCGCATCAGCTCTGGGACGTAGTCGAAGATCAAGAAGCGATTGACCTCATCCGAAATGTCCAGGATCCCCAAGTCGCTAGCAAAATGCTTCTCGATCTTGCTCTGAAGAATGATACCCACGATAATGTGACTGCACTGGTAGTGCGTTTGAACTTTGCGAAGGGGACGTAGTTTGCGGGCCGATATTGTTTTCATGTAAACTACATCCTTTCTTTTGTTCGTATGATAACTTATTCGACCCGGTGCGAGAAAGTGGGTCTGGCATTCGAGGCCACTCGTGTATTATCATCCATCCATTCATCTTCGCTGTACGGTAAACAGTTTTTTGGTCATTAGCTTGGTATGTACTAATGAATTCATTATCAGTTTATGATGTCAATGCGCACATAATGATATCTAGCAACTTAGAGATCATGTTTTTATATGGTTGAACAAGTGCCCACACCAGTATAACAATAGATAGACGCTCATCCAAAGTTCAACCGTCCTGTGTATTGATATGGATCCCACGAATATGAGAGATACAAGGTCAATCAAATATCTCACAGTCCGCGGGCTTACAACCAGTAGGACTCATACATAGATCGTGAAACAAATTATCCTCACGTATCCACCCATTGTAAGATCGTGGACCTAAGTTGATCACTTACGCCATCCACTGCAAGCCCCGGCTGAACACCCAAATCGATGTACATAGTCACCACTTGATAAGTAATGAAATGTACATTGCCGGGAATTGCGATTCCAGTCTAGGCGTGTCATAACAGATGCGACCATAGCTACTAATTAGCGTAAGTATGTAGATCTTCTTCACCATCTGTTTTGGAACACTCATAACAGCTCGCCCCCATGGCTCACCGGTCCACTTTGGAACCCTTTCAGTCGCTCTCACACAAGCTAACCGCTGCCAAATTGGATGTGCGAACTGGTAATCAGATGGCGCTACCATTGTGTCATCTAATTCTAATGGGACTGTTCTAACCAGGCCATATAAAAAGCCGCTTCGCGTCGTATGCACCTGCTTCGGTTAAGGCCCAGGCTCCATAGGCCTATACGTTTGTCCAAAATTTCGGCCTTAAATCCACCTGAATAACCTTAAATACACCCGAAATACGCTATATTTCGGGCCTCGAATACTCGATTCTGGACAAAAGTCTTTTTCACGTGACAGATTTTCCACCACACGTGATGCAGAAACGCGTCACAAATTAGATTTTTGGAAGACTCTACGAAAAACAAATACAGCTCTTCCACATGTCCTGTTTCCACGCAGGAATGCGTATCATAAATTTAAGCAACTTTTTGGCCACTTCGCGGCGTGTCAATGATAACCAATGAGCATTGGGTACCTCTTTTAGTGTGATGATAACCAATCCCTCTTTTTGCTCTCTTTTCTGCATTGATATGTCATTATTTTTATCTTTCTCGAGGAAGCCAGCGATGAGCGTGGGGTTGTATATCTTGAAAAGTTCGGTGCGGGGCTCCATGGAGCACGATCTCCTGCCGTCCGGTAACCAATGAGCACGCCATCCCTCGAACAAAAATTTCGAATTTTCCGTTCCGCGGCCTAAAATATGTTATATTTGGACCAATTTGGCCATTTTCTGGACGAACGGGAGCTTCCCGGAGCCAAGACAAGTGTCTAAGCTTGAGCATAATGATCGGTAGTTCATCCTCGTGAGGTCAGGTGCTTGAAGGTATTATACATTAACTTTGCATTAACTTGGATCAGGTAGTCAAGCGTAGAGGAGCTTATATGACTTCGAACTCACTGTCGATAGTGTCAATTGCGGCGTCTAATCTCTAAGATGACTCGCCCTTCGTTTCTAGAAGCTCTTCAGGTTATCGAAGTGTATATAGGGTAACTATTCCGCGAAATTTGAGTATTACCGGCATGCTGAGAAGTATCCAGCAGGAACATTTCCCAGAAGGCAGAGGAGGATGCCCGAAATGATATCAACAATGACAATATGCGCCCATTATTACTAGGGATTGATGACAGTACAACAATTCGTTCGGGTCAAACTTGATGGAAATTGGTATTTCCGGTTTCGTTGTCATGTCAATCCCAGTGAGCACGGAAAGCGTTTCCACAATTGAGAGTCGAATCGATCTTCGCAGCTATTGCAGGATAAAGGCGCGAAGAGAATAAAAGTGTGTTGTAGGGAGTCATGATGCATGAGCGCCGCCGGGTCAATGCGAGAAGGTTTAAATAAAAACAATTGTAAGTGTTTCCTAATTGGGATATATTTTGTAGGTCAAAGCTGCTCTCCACTCTTCCTTTAACAACGGCCACTATCCTTCTGCTTGCCCTTCTTATATTTCCCTTCTCTCCGTGTGTTTACCCACAACGTGAGCGTCGTTTGCTTTGCGTGATATGTTGATGGATAAATCGTTAATGAGACCTCAAATTACAGCCCAGCACATCTACTCATATCAAATCGCAGCCTCTATCTTCACCCATCAGAATTGTGAGTTTTACATGGACCATAGCGCATAGCGAATGGAATGATCGAAAGTGCTCATGTCCAACCCGAATATGCAGTACCGAGACATCACACCTGTCCACCTCACCTATATTATGCAACTCCGATTCAGTGATTCTCCCAATGCACGTTCAAAATCCATCACGAGCGTGGAGTTGGATACATATGGAGTACGTTGCCCATTTTAAGCCTATGCGAACTGACTCATTGAACGGCCTCTTCGGCATTTCAGGTCCTTAACCGACATGCGACGAAGAATACAGCGTATCAAGTTGGCGTGACAGAAGATAAAGGGACACGAAGAACAATGGAAGATGCTCATTCGTTCGTGGTTGATTTTGACGCTGTGCGAGGTCAGGGTTTCTTCGCTGTCTTCGATGGACATGCTGGCAAGCATGCCGCGGAATGGTGCGGAAGCCACTTTCACGAGGTACATCCGTATCACTACATTCTCACCGCTCCTATCTAACTCGTCTAACTCATACAACAGTACCTCCTAACTTCGCTCCATGCTTCACCAAATATGCCTGTACCCGATGTTTTCAATGAGACTTTCCACAAGGTCGACAGGTTCCTCTCACGTATGTGCGAAGAGTCGGAAGGCAAGATCCATTCTGGCTGCACAGCAGTAACCGCCTTTCTTCGCATAGAAGACGCCGATGGGCACCAATCCTTCATTAACGCTTCCCCGTCCTCGCCCTTGTCTGACTCGCCCATATCCGGTCATAGCAATGATGTCGATAGCGCCCACAGCAGTGGCGCAGAGAGCACCGGCAGCTTTAGCGAGCACAGTAACAGAAAAAAGAAAACCTCAAGCAGTAGCCGTATCAAGAAAGCGCTAAAGACCCTTACCGGCAACAAATCAAGTTCCGTGTCTTCTCCTTCGACACCTCGCTCTGGATCACCCGCGTCATTACGGAAAGACCTCGCGATCGGCACGACTATCACCGTGCCACCCTCTGATTCAAGACGCGTATTGTACACTGCCAATGCGGGTGACGCGCGTGCAGTATTGTGCCGTGGTGGAAGAGCAGTGCGCCTGTCATATGATCACAAAGGTTCCGATAAACAAGAAGCAAAACGAATAACAGATGCTGGCGGATTTGTTATGAGTGGGCGGGTGAACGGTGTTCTCGCTGTGACACGAAGTTTAGGCGATTCCTCTATGAAGGAATTTGTGGTCGGTTCGCCATATACCACCGAGACTGAGCTTTGTGAGGAGGATGAGTTTCTGGTTCTGGCTTGCGATGGGGTGTGTACCATTGCAATCGATTCATCCGAGCCCCATCTAACACTGATCCAATCTCACCAGCTATGGGATGTCACCAATGACCAAAGTGCCATCGATCTTGTACGAGAAATTCCTGATCCTCAGGTGGCAAGTGCGAAACTCCTCAAGTACGCACTGTCGCATCACACATCAGACAACGTTACAGTTCTAGTCGTCCGATTTAAGCACATCTCTTCGCAGACTGTATAGTCAAGGACCCTGGCGAATTATAGTGACATATAATACGTTACGCCTTGTCTTTTGTTTGTTTTTTTGCGCCCTCGTTTCTTTTTATATTCCTAGCTTTCTCTCGCACCTGTTCCATGTCGTGAACATGTCGTTGCAGCGTAATACTCTCATGTTTTTAGTTTATATCCGCCGTCATGAATATAAACAATATCTGCATTCGAAGGATCAGTGTGCCATACAGGAGCTTCTGTCTGGCCAACAACGCCACGTTAGCTTATGGAAGCCTAGTTTGTATCCTGGCACTGTAGGGAGCAAGTATGCGGCGGCAATGTTTTTTTGCATTACAAGGACTGGGATATATACACTTTTGTTGATACCAAATTAAAGCCCTAGATGTCAAAAAATTGTCCCAGGGAGGATTCGAACTTCCGGCTTCTCGGAGCGGAAATGAAGCCACAACGAGATGATTTGACCACTAATCGACAAGGACCATATACAAAGGTGCCTGGAGATGTCTATGTTGTGCGTGAATTGACAAATGTTCGTACATGATACCAAATATCTAGTATGTTCATTGTATTGTAGTCCGAATTCCATGATAGACGTGTCATACTCATGTCCAACTTGAAGACATAACATTCAGACCTGAGGTACACCAGCTGTGACACGAGGGTATCTTTCCACAATTAGCTAGAAGAGGAAAGATATCAATATACAGGATATTTGCAATCATTATCTGCCATGAAACTCACGCCGAAAAGCTCTGGTGCTCGAATAGCCAGAACCTGCGGGTCCTCACCAAGGCCAACGAATCTAAGTGTTTTCATTTCAGCAAGACGCTTTCAAAAATTGTTGCTCGAGGCTTACATTGTCGAGACACCAGCTTCGATGGCGGAAGACAAGGTCAAGGCTAATGTAGACGATTTAACAAGGGGGTACTCGGTGGAAACGGTGCACATACAGCACAATGTACCAATCAGAAACGCAAAGAGCAGAACTGGCGCGGTGTAACTTCCATCCACATTATAAGAAGGGGAAGTGACTGGCAAATCACCAGTGAGAACGCTCTTTTACTTGATAAAGCGTGGAACCTACAACGCAAGTAGAGATAGGCGAAAAGCGAACATATTATACCGACAGCATATGCTCCCCATGTCAAAGCTAGATATAGAGGGTAAGTGCTAATAATGATCTGGAACAGAAGGGCGCACTCATTCCAACAAGAGAGTCATTGACAAGGGCGTCAATGCCTATGTCGAACGACAATTAGGGGTTGTATGAAGGACGTTATTGTGATCAATGACAAGCTCACCTCGGTCCTTGAAAAGCCTCCAAGTATCCTTCGCTGCAGCGATATATGGTTTGCCGTAGAGCGCTGTAATGATGTTAGTAATAGACTCGCCGAGCATGTTAGCACACGAGGAATAAAACAAACCGATCTCAATGTACGCATATCTGAATGATATACACCATGATTTTCTGCACCATGACTTGAAAAGAGCACTCTACCTATTGAACCATTCCACCAAGCTCTCGATGCAGCCAATGAAACATGCTGCGCAGCATGCTAGACAGGCCTCGACGGCTAAAGAAAAACCATATGTTCAGATCAACGATGGAATAGTGAAGCATACTTACGATGACCATCAGCATTAGCGTTATTTCGTATCATGTTCAATAGCATCTTGATAAGCTCCAGGAGAGTGACAATTAACGATCCAAAGGCGATCGATCCCAAAGACAACGTAGACGCCCTTCCAAAAGCAGAAGTAGTGGGATGCATTGGCTGTAAGCAAGAGCGATATCATTAATAGGGATTGCATCCCTCATGCAGAAAGAAAATACCATTTCTCCCATCTCATGAGGCCCGAAATAGTACCATGCCCCAAAAGGGCCGCCTGCGAGGGTGGCAATAGCAACATTTTTGACGACTTGAGAAGTCCAAAGGAAAGAAAAGGTCTCGTAAAAGATCAAGCCAGCAACTTTGCCGGATGAACAGCTATTTTTTGCACAATCTTTGATGGAAATATCATGATGAATTGAAAGCAAATGGGAAAGAAACTACTCACTCGGGTTGCCTGGCGTGTATTGGTTGTACCTGTTTTGGATTCATCTCGCCCAACTAATGCCATGCAAGAAAAGCGGACTTACGTGGCAATTGTGGTGAACACGTACCATCTTGATTGATATGTAAGAGGAAGTATACAACCATAGTTGATTATCACTTACACCGCCAAGGCCGCTTGCATCAATAATGCAACAAACGCCACGAAATAGACACTTTTGTGGTGTTTTGACACGTCCATTACAACCTGGAGCAAAAGCGATGCCAACGGAATGCGAGACCTAAAGCTAAAGTAGGAGAAGATGGCGAGGAGAGCGAACACCGTAAAGATGATCGCGCCAGCTATGAATAGAGCGATCAAAAGTGAGATTCATGGCTATGCAGAGGTACAAAAAACGAACACCAGTATTTCGTGATCCAGTAATAAACACAAATTCCACTAAAATACTGAATGTTATCAACGCATTGGGTTTCAAATGTGTAATGTTACGTACATGTTCAGCATGATTGTCAACACGAGGGTGATGTGCATGATCATCCGTGTAAACGCACGAGTGAGCATGAGGTATAACGTAGAGAGCAACAGCGCTGCTGCCGTAACCAGGAGTAGCAGATAAACCGTGCTCCTAGTTGCAATCAAATAAAATAAAATGGATTCCACGAATATTTTTACTCACCGGTTAACCGTGACGGCCGTACCAGATTGACCTCCCGACTTTCCGATTCCACCCCCAAGACCATTGGCAGATGACCAAGGATTGAGCACTATGCCAGATAGTGCTGCGTACCCAAGGAGCTGGATGAAGTTGGATGCGTGTCACTGAGACGTCACAAAGGCCACGTACTTGTAAGACGAAAAATATCAAGAATAGAGGATCGTTGATTGTGCGGTTTGGCTTGAACCTTTCGCCTTCGTAAGGCGATTTCTGGTCATAGGCTGGAGGAGGCGCTGGCTGTTCAGGGATATAGCCCCCGTAACTTCCATAGTTGGGGGTGGGCCCTGGATAGGGCTTGTGCTGGACATGTTCCATGACGTTCCAAAGAGATAGTATTCAATGAGAAATCGTGAAAGGTCGTATGTATATAATAGGGTTCGAGTAAATTTAGATTAAGAACGTCAACTTCGTGACGTATTCGGAGTGATCCGATCATTTGATCCGGTTAATCTCGTGACCCTGCTACTTTGTCGTTCGAAGCTTGCCCCTCCCTCTTTATGTATCATACATGTCAAAATCAAGTTGGATCAGTGTGCATTATGTACCTATACTTACGTGACAATTCTAGGGTAGATTATACTTACGAAAGTAGATGTAATAGAAATTCAACTATCCTCACAAGTCTGATTTTTACTTTTCTTTGACTTCACATACATGGAATCTGAGTCGGGGGATCTATGTATGATATATATGGCATTGCTTAACATAATCCACGAATGAATTGGAGGATGATTGCGATAAGTCGGAGACCTTGACCTGCGCTGCTTTATCATCTGGGTCGACAATACTTCTCCCTTTGCCAAAGGGTCGAGCACATATTAAAAATTTCCTATTGTATTGTCCCTGTCGATTAGTGGTCAAATCATCTCGTTGTGGTAGGAATTGCTCCGAGAAGCCGGAAGTTCGAATCCTCCCAGGGACATTTGTTTTGTCTCGCTGCCCAAAGTTCTCAGAGCTCTCCAGACTCTCCACATCTCCATACTCTCCAGAGCTCGTTGTCACAGGACTGCGCCACACTCGAATGTAAAACCTTAACACCTCGTAACTCCGGCAGAGTTTTTTTTTGGATCTCGACCATACCTTAGGTAGAGATATTTACGCTACCGCTTGCGGAGCAAATCCTAAAGCGGAAACGACTGCAATCAGCGAACAGCAAAATTGTCTCTTATCTTCAGAGCCGTAGAGCCGTTGTGGTGCACTATATATAATTCATGTCACGGGCTCATAAGCGACGTACTAATTGATGCGTGATGTCATATCTGTCAGGTAACATGATTGCAACCTGTTATTTGAGTCAAGGCTCCCGTTCAACAATCTTCTTCATTCCCCGATGCGCAAAACATCCTACGTTTTGACCTTCTTTGTAGTGGTCATCACACTCCTACTAGTGAGCCATCAGCTAATTTTTCGATCAATTGCTCTGAAAAGGAGCTATATTCACGTTTTGCAGAATGTCTTCTCCATTAATCGCCCAGATTGGTCAGTCTAGCTCAGATACAATCCGCCCTCCCTGGTCACCGATAACACAATGGCAGGCTTGTCGTCCAAACACCTGAAATCCTCCACACGAAGGTCACTATCACCTACGGTCTTTCCGAGCGCTGTGAACGTCAAGTCACTCGCATTCCGGGAAATGATCACTCGAAGTTCGAATACAGCGACTACCAATGCAGAAGCTTTCCCAAGAAGGTCACGGATGGCTGTGAAGAAGATAATGCCGTGTTCTGTGCAGCATGGACCAGTGCACGATACTTTGTGGAGCTTGCCGCGTGGTGTGCTGCGGCATCACTCTGCGCAATAGCGTTTGGTGTTAGCACACATTCACGTAGAAGGAGGATCTGGAGAGTGGCTGCGGGGCTAATACTTCTTCAAGGTATCTACGTATCCAATTGGCTTTGATCATCAAGTCTAATCGCTTGACGATTCCAGCTGCATTCCAGATCGCTACTTTTGGGGTAATCACAGACCTGTATAGCAAATCGCAGTTCCCGGCTTTCGAGACGGCACGTTTGGGTAAGCTCCAAAAAGTTTTTCTGTTATCGAACTAGATAAGCTTTTAGGTCCAGGATATATCTTCAACATCCTTTCTTGGATCTTTGGTATTTTGAACGGTATTGCTGTCATAACAACTGGAATTTCTGCAGACCAGGGTCATAAGTGGGCGGCCGGCAACAGAGCTTACAAACGCATTCCGAATGTGTAGGTTCGGAAATTTTTGACACATATCGTCAGGGTATTCATTTCTATTCTCGTACACGTACATATCCGTACTTACTAGTATCACTGGATGCTTCCTTATGTCATGTTTTCCTTATCGTTTGCTCCCCTTATGGCACGCAGAGAAGCCCTAACTCCATTTATATACCAGCGAGGTTTCCTTAGAAATACTATACATATTCGAAAACATTGAGCCTCTGGGATAAATCAGTCTGAGTTAGTCGTGGCTTGATGAACAGCAGTTCTGTCTCCTGACATGATGTTGATCAACGAAGTGAGCAGATGGTATGAATTTCTCACTGAAATCTCCATAATTTGCAGTCCAAACTGTCAATTGAGATTAGACCACCCCAAGGAACTATAAGCACTGCTGCCTAAGACTATAATCTCCAGTGAGGCATTCTTCTGCCTTTTATTGCTTGAGCCAGTCTCGGATATTTTCTTTTCGTCGATACCAGCGTAATGGCAGAATGATACGGGAAATGATGGTCT